ATCAGATGGTTTGCTCACCTTTTGTCCTTGAACAGATTATGGAAGCTGAAACATCAAATATTGGGTGACCTCTTTATAGAAAGTGCAGTTAAAGAAAATATTGTACAAAAAATATTTTTTTTAATACTTCCTAGACTACAGACAAAATGTTTTGGTGAGGTAATAATGTAAAATTTATTTCAGATAGACTGTCAAGAAATATTTAATTCTGCTGCAGAATATCTATACTTGCCATCTGCTTGGCCAGAGTGGGAGGGACACTCGTAAACAAATGGTTCAATAAAGAGGTATTGGGTTGTGGGGGTATTTTTGTTTGTTTTGTTTTGTTTTGTTTTAATTTAGAGGGATCTCTGTCAAATATCTTTTTAAGATATTTAAGCTATTCAGCAAAGAAAAGCTATGTTATCGTAGAAAGCTAAGCCCAGGTGTATTCCTTAAAATTTTATCTCCTGAAGCTATCAATAAAATTTCCATTTGATTAGCAAAACCAAGTAGAATCTAAAGTACAATAAAATCACTTTTCATATACTTACAAGTTTGCTAACTAATTTGGTTTCATGTTTTACTCATTTCATAATTATCATTCAGTTTAGGTAGTCTTCCACATCCACTAGGCATGCACAGGAATATCTTGTTTTTACTCTGAAACAGACCAAAATGGCATAGAAATACATGCTGAATAGTTTATTAACACTTTTTTTGGCCAGTAGGGAAGAATAATTTATTTTCTAACAAGTACTTGATTTTCAGGTGGTGTAAGCTAGAGTCCTAAATCTTGGTCTTAGCTGTTCTGAAAAGCTGTACCTCTGTAGAACTCACCAGGTGTCACTGGGTATTACATAGCCCAGGTCAATTCAGCTCAACAGTGAGATGAAAATATTCACATCTGCACTGGCTTTTTTTGAGGGACAAAAGCTGTACTGATTCATGCTGTGTTGCATTGTGCTGCAGATTGAAGCACAGAGAGTGAGCTTGAAAAAACTTTCTTATTCATGACCTCTTTAATTTTTTTTTTCTGTTCCACTGTGGTATTCCTGGTAAGTTATGGTATTTTCCAGAAGTTTGGGGAATCAGTGATGAGAGGGATTATTTCTGACCTTATTGTGTGTAATTTTTTATTTGAGTGGTAATTTGGCCAAGGGATATAAGGAAGATAAAAACAATAATGAATGTAATGTATGTGAAGAAATGATGATGATACATGAAGAAAGTCACTTAAGAAATTGACAGGGACTTGACCTTCAAAGTTGACAAATGTATCCCAAGTACTTTGTTTGAACATATTTCTGGTGCAGAGCTCACTGCCTCACCTTCAAAGTTTGAAAGTGATGAACAGGACACAGAGTTGTTTCTGCAACTTAGAAAGACAAGAATGTCTTTCAGTAACATCCTCATACTTAGATCTCATTAATCCTGTTAATGCAGATAGGCCATTTATAAATTTTGTGCTAATATTTATAAAGCGTAATGAATGAGCAAGGGCAATGGGAGTTTGGAAGATGCTGAAATAATTGGAAGGATTCCATGCACATACTTCATACATACATGCTGTATTTTTCAACTACATTCAGTCTGCTGTGATTATCACTAAAGTTAACTGACATTAGTGTTTCATCTCTGCAGTTCCTGGCTAGCAGACAAGGGATAAGTTTTGGTGAAGTGCAGTAAGAATGTTTAAATAAATGGTTTGCAAGCCTGAATCTCTTTCCTAAGTGACATATTTAAACTGCTGCTATGTATCCCCTGGAGACAAGGCACATCAGGGAATTCTGCAAGGGCTGTACAAATTCATTTATCCTTGCATTTGAATTGACCTGCTTCCAAAGCTTTCTTGATAACATCTCCCTACTTTCAGCTTGTGCTTATCTTCTAGGAATAGAAGATTTGTTGCATAAATTGTTTGCTGGAGACACTAAGGACCTCTGTCTGTGTTTATGCACCTAGATGAACTCATAGTCTTAAAATGTTAAAAAATATTTTTTAATGCTAAGTGTTATTTAGAAATATGTACAAAAATTACCTGGGCCTTCCTCCAAAAATGTTGTTGATTATAGCTGTAGAATATTTAGCTTCAGAGAAAGAACAAAAAATGCTTACAGTACAGTTTTAATGAATTCTTATACCCTTTTTTCCCCAGATCATTTAAATTCTCTATTAGGTAAGCATTTAATTGGAAGTTACTATTATTATAAGCATATAATTTGTTATGAAATGAAATTGCTAATAATAAATGTCTCATCTTCCATAGAAACTATAGCAATACTGTTCTGATCTTTTGTGAAGCTATTGCCTGAAAAATGTCAAAAGCTTACGATATTACATAAAATAGAAGATGTGCAGGAAGAGTTACAAAATTTGGGGGAAAATTCATCCAAAGTTGTTCCGGTTTCACAGAGTGTTGGAACTGTGTATCTGAAAAGGAGCTTGAATATGTAACAGTGGAGAGCTTCCTGTACTCAGTCACCTTGATTTTGCATGGGTCTTACATGACTACTGTGCATAAAGGGAAGAAGTACAGTAAAAGCAAAATCTACCCAAAACCAGCAGAGGTTTGTAGAAGAGAAAGATAACTCCATTTCCAGAAGCATTTCCAGGACATGGAAAGTGAAATCATCTCATCAGGCTAACCTTTGGAAGTATGTTTTAAGGAGGTCAAGGAGTTACTGAAAGCTGATAGTAATTTGCTATAATAAGCTTGAATAGTCCAGTCTAAGAATAATAGATGGGTAATTTGGTTGTCAATTATTGACACAGACCACTGGCTATATTTTATCCCATATTCATCAAAGTTGTATTTATGAATGAAATTGTATATTCAAAAAAGGATTAATCCTTATAACCCTGGAGGTTTTTTTTCCTCATGCTTTTTCCCAGATATGAAAATATACCCTGTAAAATGCAAATAAAAATGTTCTTTTTCCACCATAAAAATCTAGGGACAAAGAATATCTAAAAATAGGTTGGAAACTGAAAAATTGGAGTTTTCTTACTCAAATTTTTCAGAGTTTCAGAAACTGAAAAATTGGAGTTTTCTTACTCCAATACCTTTTCCTCCTTCCCATCTCTTATTTAATTTCATTTATTTCAGAGGAACTGATCGTAGAATAATATATTCTTCCATTTAGAGATAGATATTGTATAATTAATATCCATTTGAAATAATTATTTAGTAATGTAATTTAGTAGAGATTAATATTCTGTAGTGAACTCAACAATCCCAGTTGCTGTTTGGATGGAGAATTTACAGTGAAGACCCAAATCAAAAATGCTCAAAACCTCTTAGGGGAACAAGCAAATCAGGTCTAGTGATATGTCTGAAATAAAAGTGTTTGAAGGTGCCTTCACTTCTGAGTTATTTACTGTTTTACTCAGCTATTCCTCTGTATTTGCATGGGTTAAATACGGGTAACCTTAACCAGGGAAAAATTAGCATTAAAAAAAACATTTGGAAAATTAAAAAAATGTTTTTACTGTTCTGAAAATTTTATTAATTAATAAGAACAGAGTTACCTGCTGCTTCAAACTGTTTTGTATGCTGGTAAATGTGACTGGGCTTTTTTGCATACGTATAAACAGCATTACAGTATAGCTATTGCTTTAAAAATATAAATCTGTGTTATCTTATTTTAAAGATGCATGGTTCACAATGATCACTTGCATTCAAAGCAGAGTTTATTTTGAATGGATTAAGAATGATGTAAAATATATCCCATATTAACATTTTACTTCTGTAGAATTATGCCTACTTTTCTAAAAGGGAAGGCAGCTACACTGTTTAAAGCACTTCTATTTTTTTTTTTTTTTTGTGAACAGAGATGATACCAAACCTATATTTTCATGTTCATCCTTTAAACTGTGCTGCACCTTTCCCTGTGGAATAAGAGTCTGTCCAGGGAAGTGCCATCACTGTGGGCAGTGATCCACAGCAGCCCCGTGTCAGCTGTGATGCAGCTCCAGCCTGATGGACTGTGGAGTCTCGTGTGCCCTCTGTGAATGGGGCCACCAGTTTGGGTCCCCCTCCTCTGATCAATCATTCTTCTCCCTGAAATTACTTCAGCTTAATGTCTTTGAAACAGTGGCCTCTCTAAATTTGCTTGGTATTTAATGAAAGATTTAAAAATTAGTAAGAGGTGAATGAAAATGTGACCATTGCATAAGCCTTGTTTCTTTAGGAAACTAGCAAAACTTCCTAGACTACAAATAAAATGTTTTTGTGAGGTTATAATGTAAAATTTATTTCAGATAGACTGTCAAGAATTATTTAATTGATGTTTTAGTTTTTGTTTTTATTTGGGTTTTTTTTCATGAGCAAATCTTGCACAATTGGTCATATGTTTTACTGCGCATTTCCTGTACACATCTATCACGTTTACCTCATAGTATGTCTTACAAAAATTTCCTAAAACTATATTTAGTGGATTCCAGAAAAAGCAAATAATTTTGAATACCACAGTGTTCAATAAAGAAGAGACTGGGGCAATGGTCTGTTTGCTGACAACCCTTTCAAACTGGTATGGTGACTGGTAATTCAAACCCTGATGATTTAGCTTTTTCTGAAAGGAATACTTCATGCAGTGACAAAACAGTACTGGAAATTTTGATTAGGAAATTCTAGGATATTCCCAGAAGTGCAGCTTTGCAGAGATGCTGAGCCAAATGTTATGGTAATTTAAAAAATGTGCTTACCAAATAATTGGAACTGCAGAGAATGTAACTCATTGAGGAATTTGTCCTGTTATGATGTCTCAGCATAGAGCAAGAGCTTATGTGAAGGTGTATCTCTGAGTTATTTTAGAATTGCTTCTTTTAACTAATTCTTACTATTTATTTTATGTATGTTAAGAAATTATATTTTGTAGTGTTTTGCATAAAATTTTGTATATTCTCCATAATAAGCTCCAGATTCCTGATCCTATATGGGGACATCACTCTTTTCATTGTTTATTTTATAAATATGAAACTGGATTCAAAGCATTCCATTTTCTTTTTATCTGTGTAAGTCTCAGACAGTTTGGACCTTGGATGCTGTGAGTGTTAGACCTGGAGGTTCCCCAAGGCAGAAACTCCTAAAGGACTCCTTAGCAGCAAAAGAACTTCAGACCATGGAAAAACACCTAGCTGGTATGTATGGGATCAAGGAACCATAAAATGCCTAGAAGTATTCACCCAGCTTGCTCTGCCAATATTTCAGATGAAGGAAAAAATTATCTAACTCACATGCTGATGAAAACAGATGAAAACTTTTTTTTTTTAATTGAAGAAAACACAGTTGGTGTTTTATTTGTAGATGTAATGAACTTTACTGTAATTGCTGTAAGTACACTACTTAAACAGTAATTAAACCATGTTAAATATACTGTGGTCTGAAAGCATAATGATGCACCTTCCTTTTGTTTTCATGTTTCACCCAGACTTATGCAATAAGGAGGTACTGATGTTTAACTTACTGTTAAATAGTCTTTAAAAGCAGGCTGCAGAGGATCTTTAACTGGAGAACAGATTGCTTTGCAGGAAAAACTTGCCTTGTTCATGAGAATTCTGGCTGAGTGAAATCTGTTAGTGTGTCTTGGAACATCTGCAACATCTCTGATGGAGTAACCATTTCTGAAAAGTAAAAAAAAAAAGCATGAGGTTTTTGGTAAAGAGATGTTTCAGAGCTTTATTAAAATTAATGAGGAATATTCTAAAATTTAGCTTGCAATCTGTTCTTCTTTGTAACCCATGTTTTCTATCTTCAGCTTTCATTAAAAGGTATGACATAGACCTATATTATGGTAGTCCTACATTATGCATGCTGTTTGTCATATGGTGAAAGCTTCATAGGCTAATTCTATGAAAAGTAACGCTTCACTGGGACATAAAAGACTGTATATGTAAAATGAAGGTAGAAACGAAATTTATTTGATCATTCTTCTAAGTTATTTAGAGAATGAGGCAGAGAGTGCTTTTGGTGTGATATTTTAAAATACTTTGAATATTTATCTTGCCAATAATAATGGTGAGAAAGCTAAAGTATCCTCTTTAGAAAGGGGGTGTTGCAGCTGAGGTCGAGGCAGATGACAAAGCTATAAGGACAGTGAGGGAAGCTTTTTAGGAATAGGTTTTGCTCATAATGGAGCACGAACTAAAAATTACAATATATGCAAATGAAGCCTTTTTAGATGGGTTTTGTGTCAGACAGTAGAGATGCTGTAATTCTATTTTTTTTAATAGGTTCATAATGCTTACAGCTATTAGAGCTGCAGCCACTGCCAAAATAGATTTATAAATCCATGAGCCCTCTCTCTAAACTGAAACTCCCAGGAACATCTAGTGGGAATGAGGAGAGCAGCAAAAATGGTTTTTGTAGCATAGCAGGGACCTGTATACCCCAAGGGCCCTAAAATGGTTTTTGTAGCATAGCAGGGACCTGTGTACCCCAAGGGCCCTGGTACTGAGGTGTCACTTGTTTTCCCTAATGTTGTCACTCAGGAGGAGTTTGGTGAAGATCTCCCTGCTTTGATTTATGTCCTAACTGGTCTCACTTCCATGGTCATACAAGCTGTTCTTGCATGTATTATGCTGTGGAAAATGCAGTCCCTTGGCAAAGCTGACAGTAATAACTACAATATTCAATAGAATATGCAATTTTAAATACTTAATTGACTGTAAAGTAACTAGGTACCTTTACTTAATCTCTGAGATTCCTTTTGTAGTTGTGTGACCCACAAGATTTTCTCTCTCACATCTGTGCTGTTCCTGTCATTTGACTTTGGGCCTGATATTTCAGTAAAGCTGTTGTTACATGAGGTTCAGCCATTCTACTATTCAGTAATTTTTGTCTGACTGAAAACTTCACATGAAGACAGCCCAATTATTAAACATTGGACTATTGTATTCTGAATAATTCATGCCCTATTATAACACCAGTGGTACTTGAGACGATTACTCCCCTCAAAGACAAGAATAACGTAATTTCCGTGAATAATCAGTTCAGAGTACCTCAGATAATAATGCTGTGGTTTTGCTTAGCCTCATTTATCTTGTACATTTGCAAAAGTTCAAGTGTCTGTGATATCAGCAAGTCTCTTGTTTCAGTTCTCTTAGCAAGTGCAATGGAACCTATTAATTCCATGGAATGGCTGCCTATCTAGGCAGTAATTTAGATGCCTGAGCTATGACTTGGATTACCTGTGTAATGATGAAATATGGCCCCCTGTCTCACATGCACCTTCTTGAGGGGCCTGGCCTTCCCTTATGGACAATGTGCTGGATAAAAATCACTCCTAACATAAGGCATAATTTGGTGCCTGTGCCTAAATTAGGAGCTAGCACCAATTGCCAGCAACTGCCTCAGTACCTTGACATTTGAAAGCAGCAGTTTTACAAAATCAGATACTGGAGCAGTTTTCCTTCCCTACATATGGCTCTTATCTTTTTTTGTCTAAAATCCAGGCTCTTATGCTATTATGGCTGCTTTATATCACGAGCAAATGGAGATTATTATTTTCTTAGTAGTTTATTCCAGTATCTTGCCAATTTGGTGTGTTGCACTGATTTTGTGGTCTTCATATACTTCTGGAAAATATTTTATCACAAGAAGAACTGTTAAAAAAATAAACAGTTTATAAATGCATATGAATCATATCCTTATTTTGTATATTTTTTTATTTGAAAGCAAAATGCCTTTGTGTTGCTCTGTTGCATTTTATTTTCCTTTAAATGACCACAACAAGGATTTTTAAAAATCCTAAGTCATAATTCAATTGTGTTATTTAATATGGATCAGATAATACTGCAAAGCTGGGAATGTATGACTTTTTTTTCTTTCTGGCTGTAAAGCTTATATTAAAGCAAAATCACACAGAACATGTGTAAATAAAACTGAGTAATTATGCTATGGAAACATGTTAATTATGTGTATAGCAATTATTATAATTGGTTTATCTGCAGGCTTGATTGCTATATGAAATTAAGGAAACATGAGCCAGCATATAATATTTATTTAACTCTATTAAATCATTCAATATTCATACTATTTTTTAGCATACTGAATTCACTCTACAGGCAAGCTGGACTTCTGTAATTTTGCAAAGAAATAGACTAGGCTGGTTTTTTACAAGACCATATTCTTCATTTGGTTTAAATCAGTAGCCCACAGTATCATTTATTCGCCCCTGATTTTTTGCCAGGCATCTTACACATTCTGCACCAGAAGAGGAGCAGGGAGCAGGTTAAGGGAGCTGCTTCTTCCCCCTCTAAGATCAGCTCAGTTGGTCAGATCCTGGTGCTAGTAACACCAAGGTCACCATCAAGGTTTGATCCTCGTATGGGCCAAACTGAAGAGTTTGACTTGATAATTGTTGTGGTTCCCTTGCAATTAAGAAGATTCTGTGATTCTGTGATTCACTACTCCACACTCATGAGACCCCACCTGAGTGCTGCATTCAGCTCTGGGGCCCCCAAGGTAAAAAGGATGTAGAGCTGTTTGAGCAGGTCCAGAGGAGGCCATGAAGATGCTCAGGGGGCTGGAGCATCTCTCACAGCCTGAGAGTTTTGGGGTTGTTTGGCCTGTAGAAGTGAAGGCTACAGGGAGAGCTAATTGTGGCCTTCCAGTACCTAAAGGGGCCTGCAAGAGAGCTGGAGAGACGCTTTTTATACGGGTATGTAGTGATAGGACAAGGAATAAAGGCTTTAAACTAAAAGAGGAGAGATTTAGATTAAATGTTGAGAAGAAATTCTTGACTGTGTGGGTGGTGAGGCACTGGAGCAGGTTGCCCAGAGAAGCTTTGGACGTCTTGTCCCTAACAGTGCTCAAGGCCAGGTGGGATGGAGCTCTGAGCAACATGATTTTAGTGGGAGGCATTCCTGCCTATAACCAGTGGGTTTGGAACCAGGTGGCCTTTAAGGTTTCTTCCAGCCCAAACCATTCTCTGATTCCATGAAGTTCCAAACTGAAAACATAATCGAGGAGTAGTTCAAGATGTAGTAATTTCAAAATAGAAAGAATTAATTTTAAGGGGTCAATTATAAATGTTCTTAACTGTGTGCTAGAAATATTGACTATGTTTTGAAATTTGCTAACAGTAAAATATTTAATCTTTAAAAAGTTGAGAGACACTTTTATCTGAGGCTTTCACAACTATTTCAATTTTATTAATTTTTCTAGTAATAGCATTAGAATTGTGTGCAATAGGTTGTATTAGACTAGTAATGTGAAATTGGCATGGCTTATTTCCTGTTTTCAAGATCCTATAAAATATGTTGATGTTAAAGGAAGCACATCTTTAATTACTTAACATACAACATTCCTTTTATACCTACTGGTAAACACAAGTGAAAAAAAATCTCATTTTCCAATACGCAGTTTAGAATCTGTTTCTTTTAGGACAGTTAGAACCTGAAATAATTGTTGTAAAATACAAAAAACGAAATGCTTATTTTAGACAAGCTGACTTAATGGATGTTTAAATCAGTAGAGCCTTGCTACTTTACAGCTTCTGGGACTGTGACTTGTTAATGGGAAATGGCATTCCTATTTTAAAGATAATCAGTTGTCTCTACGAAAATCAAGTACAGTAGAATACATGCCAGTGAAAGTGAAAATTCATAAGAGTAGTGTAAGATAAAATAAACTTGATTAAACTGTTTCTTAAGCTCTACATTTGCACTTGCAAGGACTTTGAATATATTATCAATGCTAACCTAAATTCCAGCTACCCTTGCCTGAGTTTGATGGCTGTATTCTGATTTAATTCATTAGAAGCATTAATATGATTTAAATTATTTCAGGAAACACTTTTCATTCACTGTCCTTAACCTGTTGTGGTTTTAAAAGAGATCCTATTTCTTATGGCTGTGTGCAAGGTAGGGGTTGGACTACTCAATGGCTGTCACCTTTTCTCCTTGGGCTCTTGACATCATGACCCCATCACCTGCTGTGGCACTGATGGCAGGCCAGGGCACGAGATTCAGGTTCAAACAGGATCACAAATCCAGACATGCCAGAGTTCAATTGTTACTTCCCTCAGAGTTTTGGTTGGGCAGTAGACAGCAGGGCCAGAAGCAAAAGTTTTGCCTTGAGCCAGGTTTGATTGCAGCTGAGGATGGCATGTTCACATCACTGGTCTATCTTGGTTTGCTACTAATCTTGATTTTGCAGTAACTGTGCAAAAGCCACAGAGACATAATTTTGATGACACAAGAGGAATTTTTATAGGTTGTGTTGATAGTCAATGAAGAGGTAATATTTCATTGCTGCAGGGTAGCTGTGTTTGCAGTGAATCAAATGTAAATAAACTTTAGGCAAATGCTTGCCAAACATTTGCACTGTTAATTCTGATGCCTTGTATTTTAAGCATGAATAGATTTTCTCTGCACAGGTTCAGGTTTTCACTGACATTGGAGAAAATCATTGAGAGTTTTAAACCAGAGAGAAACAGACAGTGAGTTTCTTTCTTTTCCATTTGTTCATGTGTGTGTGCACAGACATTGAGAAGGACCTCGCACTGTGGGAAGAAGCAAGGCTCTCAAGAAGCCCTGGTGTCCAGCATCCCAGTGTAGTTACCTCTGACCACCAAGGTGCTCTTCAAGCTGCACAGGGCCCAACCCCAAGGCCTCAGGTGCCAACTCCGACAGGGAAGAATGTTCAGCTCCAAGGAAGCAAATCGCCACCGCTGCCCACTAACAGCAGAACACAGGTCTCCAGTGTCACAAACAGCAGTGCACAAACCAAGAGGCCAGCAGCTCCAGGGAGCAGACCTATGACCCCAAATAGCTTGTTGTCACGGCCTCTTACCCCTAGCAACCAAGGAAATAGGGAAGGCATTATTAGCATGCAAAGAAGCAGATCTTTGTCATCCAAGAGCCAAATGGGGAGGACCCTCAGTGCTGCTTCAGGGCTTTCTGTGCAAGTGAGTGGAGATGTTGTTGGAACTGTCACTACTCAGAGAAACAGTTTATCAGAAGTAAGATTTTCGATTTAATGTTTTTGCTATGTTTAATAATGCCAAGACTTGATTGCATTTTATGTTCAAATAACATCAGTATACCTAATGTAACCTACTGTGCTGAAAAGAACTTGAAATAGAATGATCAGAAAATTAGCAAGGAAATACTCCTCAGCTTTGAGAGGTACTCATTAGAGAATGTCAGTATTATTACAGAAATCATACTGAAACACTTGTGTGCCCCAAATTTACCATGAGCTCGGTAGGACTTTGCCTGTACAATGCATAGCAGTTTTATTAGCATTACAGTTTCTAACAGGTGCATATCTCTGGAATATTAAAAAAACTTTATCTAATCTTTATGATCCATGATATTTTTTTCCTGCTGCACTGGCAGTGCATGATATTTTCTCGATCTACTTTTTATTTCATATTTTTGGGCAATTGGAATTATTAGTTAGGCATCACTGAAAGGACAGGTTTTTCCCAAGCACCAAACTGAATTGCAAGAGAAAATGTCCAACATTGTTGAATCAGTGTCTAATACTATATGCATGGTAACTAGGCTAATTTATAGCATAAAAATTTCCTGTCACATATTATTGGCTTAATAGGACTAGTCTTTGTTTAAAACAAAACAAAAGAAAAAGTTAAAGTACCTTGTAAATTCTGAGTAGGATTCTCCTCTGCTAACCTTAGCTGCCTTAAAGATAACTTCAGTGTGTGGGCAGTGGAAATAAAAGCACCTGTGAAAGAAAACCCCTGCTGTCTATCTCTATACATGCCTTACAAAGGTGAGTCTTTTCTCAGGATATGCCAGTCCTTCTATACTGACTTGAGAAGGAACTATGTGTCTAGACTGCTGATTTTTTAGTGGTGGAATATGTTGGTTCCCACCATTATTACCAATCTCTTTGTAATCCATTTGTCAAAATCTGGAGACCTTTTCTCCAAGATTTAAAATAATATCGTACCTTTAGATTGTTTCTGAGGAGTATCATCTGTTTTAATAATCTGTGTGGTGTGACACTTGATACAATGTGTTATCAGTCTCATGACTTCCAAAGGAAATTTCAAATGTTGTTTATGATAGTGTTGCCTAGGGTTGCTTTTAGAAAAAATAGAGATTAAATACTTAGTATAACTCTTCAATTAATTATATGATGTCCATTATTTGTTGTGAAGGAAAGGAAATAAGGCACAGATTATTCTAGAATTTGGGGAAGAAATCTTACTTCAATTTGGTGGTGAAATAAATACTCTTTATTTTGGTGTTTGAATGGCAGTGCACTAATCCCATCACTTGAGCTGTTTCTTCACTTAGAATTGAATATCCAGATTAAAGACATGAGGACTGAAGGTGACTACAGTTCTCCTGAAAGTGTCTTTACTGCCAGTTGATATATTTTCAAGCCACATTTCCCATTTAAAAAAAAAGAAAGACACTTAATTTTAACAATTTTTTTTACCAAAAAAATCACTTTGTGTTCTCTTTTGAAGTATGGGATGTGTTTGTGTGGTAGAATTTCCTCTCATACCAGAAATTGAGAATTGAAATTAATTTTTAATTAAAATATGTTCAGAAGAAATGAAGGGGTTTATTGTCTCCGACTAAATTCTTCACCCCTCTTTTTCTTCTTTTTTAGGCAGTCTTGTTCTTAAGTGATTCTCAGTCATGTGATGCCAAGTAAAATTACTGTATATGCTCCTGAAACTATGTGTATGTAATGTGTGAGAGATATCCAGTCTGCCCACCACTTTTGATCTTTCCTGTAAAAAGGCAGACGATTAAAAAATGCTTTCTTCTGTAGTTATGGTAATAATAAGGAAGAGTTCCATTTAATTTGCCGTGTCTTGTTACTTCTGTTTGCTGATAGCTCTCACAGTAAGTGTCCTGTTATACTTTTAATATATGTATAGATTTGTCTCAAGAATTTTAGGAAGTGAGCAATATTATTATGCTATTTTCCAGTTAGAATAGCATGTCCAGATTCAGCCAGCAATCCACTGTAAAGCTGATGTTAAACCTCAGCATTTCTATGCAGGATCTTATCCTCTGTTAAAATCCCTTCTAGAAGTGACAAATTCTTTTCTTTCTCTTTGCTCACTGGGTACAATAGTACCTTGGCTGCTAGTGACCCAGCTCAGACCCTATTTATCCTTTCTGACATGCACAAGTGACCTTTGACATAATGGAAACTCAGCTTGGGACTAGCTCTGCTTCCAAAGGGAAAGCTGCTGTTATGACACATTGATACTGAAGACCAGGTTGTGAAGGCCCATGGATATCAGAAAGTAGCTGATGGAGATCTGGCCAATCTGCCACTCCCAGCCTCATTTTGGAGGTGTTATACTAGCAGCTTTCAAGCTGTCTTTTGCCCACTGAAGTTCCTGGTCACTTAGAGAAGTGGATTTAGACAGAACATACCCAGGAAATACGTCTGCTCTGTGACATTTTTTGCCGTGTTAGACATTTCCTCCCATTTGTGGCCATATGATTTCACTTTCTTGTGTCACAGCTTGTCTCTGACCATGGAGATATATTTTAAAAAGGCAGAGATGGTTTGGGGTAGGAGAACAAGAGCCCTGCCTGTCTTTGTACTATTACAGATCACAAACATATAAAACTCAAGGCTGATACTGTAATTTATTTTGCAACTTTCATTGTAGGTTTTGTATCCTCTTCCTGTATAAAACCAGTAAAATAAAAGAGGGGACATTACCTTTATTCTTATTAGCCTTGTGGTCTCAACTGGGAATTTTTACTGGATGTAAATACACTGTGGTTATATTGCCAATCCTATGGAAGATACTATGATAAACTTTTTTGCAAATAACTCTGCTTCCTTTCTTTTAGGTGATGTTAATGGAATTAATCAGTAGAATGTTGATATATATTTGATGAGAATAAGTCAGTTGAAAAGACTGGGTGCCAGGAGCATGTTTTACCCTAAGGAGCTTGATATACTTATTTATTTACTTGCTTATTTGTTGGGAATTTTAACATATCTCTCAATGCCTTATGTATGCTTCCTAGATTGTAATGTGTTTCAAAGTAACATAACAAGTCTAAATAGAAAAATATTACTAATAAATACAATTCAAACTTCTTAAGCTTTAGTAAAGTTCATGCTGCAGCATGGGTGGTTCAATCTTGTTATAGCACAAATCTTAAATGATTTGGCAAGTACTCAACATATCAGCTGTTAAGAATGTTTTGGGGTTTTTTAATGCTCAACACTTATAATGATCTGAGATTTTGTGGACAAGTTTCTGCCTCCTGGCACACATAATATTACTAAGTTCTAACAGGTGTGTTTTTTTATCAGCTCTGTTCAGGGCTGAATTGAATTATAGCAAAGAAATGCTACCTAGAGAAATAGTTTTATTATCTCTATAAAGGTAATAAATCAGGGTTCCAAATCCTTTGGCAGAGATACTTTTATGCATGTTCCTAATCCTTTGGTGTTTTGTATAAATTGGCAAAGGAATGTTGAACCCTGCTTATCTCTTTAGGGTGGATTCCATTAAAGTGACACAATTCTGTGATACTTGTCAATAGCTGTTGAGATGAAAATACCACTGACTCCCTTGTTTGCCATATCATTTTCTGAACAGAAGAAATTTTGCAATCATTTCATTTATTCAGATAATTTGAAGTGGTATTCAGCAATCCTTATTAGTCTTATTAGTCTGTCATTGTTGAGAGCAGGAAACTTTGTCTTATTTGAATATAGCCTTGATTAATAAAATTTTTACTTCAATTTACTGGAGTATAGAGCATAACTTGTGATGAGGACTCTCTTTTTGGTCAGATACTCTCATTCTGTTCCACTGCCTGGCTCAGGACTTTGCACTGTGTTTTTAGAGGATTAAAAAGTGTGTGGATCAGTGTGAGAGTCACTCATCCCTACTGCAAGACTCCTGTTCCTTGAACCAAAACACGTTCAGTGTTGTAGTCAGTAACCTTCTCCAGCACAGCACATTGGAAATGGCCATACATGAGTGAGGCCTGGAGCTCCTGCCTGAATTTACTGCTGCCCATGGCAGCAGTCTGTGAATTTTTAGCACGTTACTGACAGAATTAATAATTTACTCCCAGCGAGCTAGATCTTGATTGAGCAGCCTTCAGTCTCCCAAAACTGATTTAAACAAGCCTGGATTCTGTATTTAAATCAGATAGCCTAAGAATAAAATTTATGTTGCAATACAATTTAACTTTAAATATGTAGATTCTCATTTCAGCTGATATAACACAAAACAGGGTTATTACCCCCTTTTTTTTTTCAAGAACTTATAAAAATCTGGCCAGTGATTTTATGATATCTGGCCAAGGTTAAAGTTTTCTTTTATAGACTAAACTTGCATGTTTGAACTACCTTTGAAAATAAAACTGTGCATTCCAGTCTCATCTCTCCCCACTAATATTTCAAAGGAATGTGTCAAAGTATTTTATATGTCTGTTTGTATACCTATTCACATACATATGCGTGTGTCTGCATGGAAAAATATTCTTATACGCATACATGTATACATTATATTAAAAAGTAGGCAATTTTAAAACATTTTCAAAAGCTATATTCAGCTGCATATGCATTTTTAACCATGTAAAACATTTATATTTTGATTTTTTACATTTAACATGTAAAACATTTATATTTTGATGTTTTAATGGTATCTTAGAGACAAAAGTTTCCATAACATTTTTTCTTCCTAAGCCTTCTCCCTGTGCAGCAAAACCATAAGGTTTCAGGTTTTTGTACTTATTAGACTAGAAACAGTGAAAATTTTGACAGATCAAAGCCTCGCTTAAGCAAATTGCACTTGAAATGTCAATGCAGTCCAAAACCAGCAGGGTTAGATGTAATATCTGCTATTTTGTCTTGTCACTGTATTTCCAGGATGAGTATGTATGTGTCTTACATATCTGTATTTATAGTGGAGAGACAGTGAAATAAACCTCTTCATTTTGGTGTGTTTGTGGGGGTTTTTTTGTGTTTTTTTTTTTTGTTTTGTTTTGTTTTTTTTGTTTTTGTTGTTTCTTTATTTGGCTTGTTTGTTTGCTTTTGGTTTTGTTTTGGTTTTTGGGGTTTTTTGTGGATTTTTATTTGTTTGTTTTTTGGGGGGGATTTTGTTTGTTTTGGGTTTGGTTTTTCTTGATTTTTTTTGTTTTACTGAATAGATTAAAAAAATTTCCAAGGAGCCTGCACATCCTCTACATTTTGGTTTTATTTCACAGCAAGTTGTTTATTTGTTTTTAAAGGCTTTCTCCTCTCTAGTTAATTGAGGCTAGTGTTTGCTTCAGTCTTCATTTATACAGAACAATTGTCTGTCATTTTATCTAAAATAGATCTGTTTGTGGCAGGATGAATTCTTACAACAGCTTCAACTTGCTCATCAACCTTGGATATTGCCGAGTGACACAGAAAGTGAAGGAGTGGAAGCTGACCAAGACAAATGTAAGTATATGTGTAAGGACCAGATAATATGTCAAAACACCTCAACTTTACTTCTATTTTCTGTATCTTCAAATACTGTGGAGATGTCATGCCTGCTCTCAGGAGCTTTTTTCACAAGTACCAATAACTTATTTGTCTGAAGGCTGAACCTTCTAGGATTGATCTGCAGAAGCTTTCCTGTAGTCACTGAACAATGACAAAATGATGACAGAACACGGTTTACTTAAGCTAAGTGAAACAATTTGTCCTGATGTGTTAAAGTAGCTGTTCCAGAAAATAACATGAACTTGAAATAGATAATCTGTTTCATAAATCTGTATTCACCAGCAAAAAAAAAAAAAAAAAAAAAAAGGCAAAGTAAAAAACTGCAGGTCTGAAAAGTAGAGCCTCCCTCCTTAGGTCTGACACTCAATTATCTCTATTTTGCTTACATTCTTTGTAATTCATCTGTATAAATAAAAGTTCTTAATCATACCAGTAATCCTTAATATCCTGCACTCTTCGAAGTATTTGTCTAATCATGGAAGTGAGGGTCAGCAGGATCAGAGCCTAAATGGCAGAACAAGTAACAGGGTATAAATTGTGATATTTTCAAATTGTAGCAAATTCTCCCTGCCTACAAGGTACCTGTAAATGATCTTACTGTTTCACATTATCTCTCTTAATTCATAGTAGTTTTGTGATCTGGAAGGGTGAATATGCAAACTGCTTCCTAACATATTTTAGGTGATGTACTTGAAAGAGAACAGGTGATTTAATCAGCATTTTTAGAAAAATCAATACTGGTTTAAACATCAAGTGTTAACATATGAAAAAGATGTTTTCTTTACAGACAGGAACAGTTCTGTAAGGGATTAAGGATTCATAAGAAACATGCCAGATAAACAGATTTTTTTTTTAAGTATGTCACTTTAAAGAATTGGTTTTTTACTCATACATCAGTTTCACGAATTCATACATGGCCCAGAGTTTGATTAAAATTTAAATTTACACAGTGGGATCCTAAAGAGCATGTGCAGGTCTTTTTGAACACTAGTAAAATGTTACAATGAGATTCTGTGCATCCATCTGATTTTAGTCCAAGGCTGTAAGTCCAGTTTGACTTGCACCAGAGCCTTTCAGCTGCCTTTGAGCTGAAGCTCACCTTAGGTGGCTCAAGAGAGACTCTGGGACCTGCCTTTTATGTGTATGCAATTTTTCCTCAGTATTTATTTAATGAATTTGCAGTCCCACAAACATTGGTAGGACTGGCTGTGCACACACAGACTGATGCTAATTATGTGACCAGGGAGACTGATGCTCCAAGGCATATCAGATACACACCATGGTCTTGTATAGCTGCTGTACTGGAATTGTGTGGGTGTGAGGACTTGTGAGCACCAAAAATCCTTTCCTATAATATTCCAAGAATATTATAGGTCATTGTCATTGCCCAAAAAACAGAGTGGTGAGTTAAATATTAAAAGCATGTTGTTAAGGTCAATGTCCAAAAGCCTCTTCAACAGTGACAGACTTGAGCAATTGACCATCTCCCTCAGAAGCCTGTTCAGTCTTTCACCCTCTCAGTAAAGGAATGCTCCTGATGTCAGTCTGAATCTCTCCTGGCACAGCTTTGAGCCATTACTTTGTGTTCTGTCACTGAATACCAGGGAGAAGAGATCAGTGCCTCTCTCTCCACATGCCCTCCTCAGGAAGCTGTGAAGTGAAGTCAATCCTCAGCTTCATTTTCTCCAAACTAGACAAGCCCAAAATCGTTAGCTGCTCCTCACAGGTCATTCCTTCCAGCCCTCTCACCAGTTTTGTTTCCCTTATCTGGACCCACTCAAGGGCCTTCACATCCTTCTTAAATTGTGGTGCCCAGAATTGCACACAGTGCTCCAGGTGAGGCTGCACCAGTGCTCTACACAGTGGAAAGTCACCTGAGCAGCTGGTGATTCTGTATTTGGTGCACCCAGGATGGGGTTTGTCCTGTTGGCTTCCAGGCCATGCTGCTGATTCTTGCTGTGCCTGCTGCCACCCAGCACCTCCAGATCCGTTTCTGCAGAGAGGCTCTCCAGCCACTCCTCTCCAGGTTTATACTTTTGCTTGATATTAGCCTATCCCAGCTGCAGAATCTGGTGTTTTGACTTGTTAAACTTCATGCTATTAATCACTGTCCAGTGTTCCTGTCTGTGTAGATCCATCTGCAAAGCCTTTTGTCCCTCCAAAGAGTCAGCAGCACCTTCCAGTTTGGGATCATCAGCAAATGTGCTAATGGTGGATTCAACTCCTGCCTGCAGGTTGTTGGTAAATGTATTGACCAGAACTGGCCCTAGAATTGATCCCTGGGCAACACTACTGGTGACCAGTGGTCCCCTTTGAGCTGTCCCTTCGGCCAGTTCTTCACCCAGCACAGCCTGCAGCCACTCCTCCCACAGCTGGACAAGTTGTTCTGAAGGATGCTGTGGGGGACAGAATCAAAAGCATTACTGAAATCCAGAAAAACCACGTCCACCAACTTCCCTCCATCCATCCATTCACCCACTGGTGGATGACCTTATCATAGACAGCTATCAAGTTAGTTAAACAGGACTTTCCCTTTGTGAACCCATATTGACCTCAGTGTAGTTAGCTGGTGCACTCTCATATCACTGTTTCTACTACTATAACTAAAGGGATAGAACAGAAATGTTTTATTAAAGTAATACCTCCTGTAACTGAAATCTGATAGTGAAAATTTTTATTAAAAGTAACTATGGATGGTAACATCCCTTTCTGAGTTTTTGTGCTAGTGACATTGTCAAGAAAGTGCAGAACTGCCACTGCTGACAAAGAGAAGCTGCCAATTCCTGGTTGTAAAGTGGAGCCAGCAAGGGGCTTTGGCACACTTGCTGATGCCACTGCTTTTAGGTAGACCAGCTGGCAAGATTACACATAATTTTTCCCCCCAAAGTAATAAATCTGTGAGGGTATGTTTTGTGTGATTTAGTGTTGAGAAGGCCCAGGAGTCCATAATTTGTGAGTTTGAGCAGAAGAGCTGCAAAATTAATCTTTACAATAGCAACACCTGTTCTTTGACTTAGCCTTTGATAAATTACATGCGGATAATATTTACCACATTCTTTGACTACTTTGAGATAATAGCAGCCAGGTGTAAAGCTAGTTTTTGGTAGTGGGAAAACAATGCAGAAAGAGAAACTGTGAGTCACCTTGAGTTCTTTAAAAGTTATATCGTCTGGTTAGAGTTTTAGAAGAAAAAGAATAAAAAAAATAAGAGGGGAACAGTTTCAAATGTATTCAGATGTAAGAGTTTAGAGAGACTATTTTCAAAGTAAGTGATAACTGAACAGAACTGGGTCACTGGCATCTCAGTATCTCTTGACAAACATCATTTGCAAAACAGATATAACAGCACATATCTCATCTTATGGAAATAAGATCTTGGTTCTCAGTTCTTGTAAATCAGACTTTACGTTCTAAATTCTCCAGGCTCTCTGACAGCATTTTAAAAATGTATCCTTAGCCATAAGTTCCAATGATAACTAGAAGTCAATAATTGTTAAACCTTCATACTAATTATAACAACATTTTAAATAAAATAGCTACTCACATAAAAGAGTTTAAATTATTCTGGCTTAAAAGATTTGTTATGTTAAAGAAGGAAAGAAAAATATTTTTAAGAAGCTTTGTTGATTTTTTTAGCATACCTCTTCCTTTTCCTCTTTGTGCACTTCATTATGTTTGTAGCCATAGGTCAGAGAAAGAGATAGTGTATAATTATTTGCTCTTGTAATGTACATTTTGTTATTAAAAATAGGAATTAAGACATGCATTTTAAGAGCTGTTATAATTTAGAAACAAAATCTCTTCTGCTTGCAAAATGTGTTCTCCTTTGAAAATCTCTACACAATGAGAGATGAAAATTGTCAAGGCAGTATGATCCAATATCAAGGACCTGTGGTGTTCTTTTAGAGGGACTAAAAATGTCTCTAGACAGAACCTCATGTGTGTTCTTCCTCTGTGATTCTGGAGACAGTTCCCCATTATTATCTTCAGTAGTTTGCTTGCGTGCTGATTCTCTGGGAAGAGTTTTCAGAGAATGCATAGAGATCATTCTTGGAAAAAGGAGGGATCTGGAGAAAATATTTACCACTTGCATAATCCTTCAGTTTGATGAAAGTTCTTTGAGCTGGCAAGAATAGATTTTCCTCTTTATGGGGTACTGATGCACAGAAACAGAAGAACTGCCACCAGAACATTTTTTAAACAGCTTTTAGAAGAAATTCATCCTTTCGGGGGACTGACAAGAGTCTGCTTGAATTTTCTCTTGAGAAAAAGACCTACAAAGATTGAAGATTGGAAATTTCTAAGTATCACTAGCTTCCAAGAATCTTGAAAAGACAAAAGACAGAGTTTTTGGTATAATTTGGCCTGCCATCTGTAGTCTTGGCAAGGATTTGCTGCCCAAAACACTAAGTCTGCTTTCTTGGGTGCCAAACTCAAGAAGTAACCCACACAACAGATTTCTCCAGGTCACACAGCCTTGGACATAAAGGGTCCCAACCTCCAGTCAGTCCATCTAGCAGATGGACATGATAGGTGAATGAAGTAGACTCTTGAAAAGCTTGCTACTTGGTTAATCCATATTAAATATACCCACAGAACATTAAGGACTGGAAGGCACCCTTAAGGATCATCTGTGCAAAAACATTCCTTTGTGCTAATCTGCTTAAGTCATGCCAGTTCCTGTAGTCAATGGCACACAAAGTTGTGTGGCTATTATCACTTCGTTCCAACTTGCCAAAAGGAGCACTAGATGCTCATTTCTAGCTCAGTTGATCCGGGGCAAGTCTTGAACTCTTGCCCTCTGACCTGTGGGAGGAAATTTAAATGTTTTGCTCCTCTTCATCTGCAAACTCTTTGCTAAGGTTGACTGTGAAAGGTCTACTGCTGATAAATCAAATGTTCATTGGGAATAAGTGGGATTTCTACTCCATTCATTCTTGCACTGGTCTTGAAGCTGTGCAGTCAAAGACACTCTGCTGATGACTTCAACAGTTGTTGAAGAAAACCTTCATTTTCCCATTTGCACATGTCTGCCTAGGAAAAAACCCAAAAGAATGAAAGATTATTCATTCTTTTGGGTTTTTTGTAAACTGAGAAATTCAGACTGTGTTCTAGTAAAATTCCAATCCATACAGTATTTGTCCATGGGTAAAGTTCCTTGCACTGAGTAAATTCACATGCCAAAACAGTCAATTTATCCTAATTATGCAAATAAGCGTTCCTAAGATTTGGAAGATTGCTTGGCCAGAGTTAACAATAAGGAGGAATCTACTGCTGGAATGTGCTTTTGCTGTGAAAGTTTGCTTTTGCTAGGGCCAGGTGCTTCTCAGTATGAGTAAGAATGACAGAATCGGGGTTAGAGGAGCGACTGTTGATTGCAAACTTTATGACATCTACACAAGCACATTCCATTTCTGTCACTGAAATTCAGCTGTTTGTATTTGAGCTCTGCTCTGATAGAGCATTGGAAACATCTCTTTCAGTGGGTTTGAGTTTAGGACAAGGCAAGATGTGGTTTCTCTAGAGAGTAAGGTGCTGATGAGGCATCACTCAAATCATATAGGCAATTATATGTCTGGTTAGTAAGAACATAATTGTTGTAGTTGGCAGTTTTTCTCAGTGAATAATAAATTCACTATAAATACACACTTTTTTTTTCTTTTTTTTTTGTCTCACAAGTGAATCTGTCCCAAAAGTGAACTTTTGGGAGACTTTTATCCCAATTCATGAGTCTTCTGGAGATATTGATGTCTTTCTTTCATTTAATATTTCAAGAGTGGTAATACAAACTGCAGTAAAAAATTCATATCTCTCCCTTCCATGTAATCTCTGCAAAGCGTATCATAAAGCTTTTGTCTGCTTGGGATATGAGTTATTTACTAAATTTCTCCAGTATGCACTTATGGTTATTAAAGAAAATATGTTGTCTCTCATTCTGCCTGCCATTGGCTTGGCTACGTATTTGGTTTGAGACAGTTCTATGTCCTCTTCAGAAATAAGACACCAGAAAGGGGATTTTGCTCCTTTAAACAGAATTGCTCCAGGCCTATTGGATGGTTTTGGCTGGATGTCTTGTGACACTCGTGGCTGAAGCTGCATCACTTCATATAACTGCTTTTTGAGTCTGAAAGTAGATGAGAATAATTTTCTAGCATGGTAACCTGCCCACGTGGATTTAATTATTTATTGATGGTGAAACAAAAGTAGAGATTGACATTATTTCTACTAGAAGTCAGATGACTTTTGGACAGTGAGTGGTGAGTTCAAATGCAACTAGGGAAAGTTGAAGTTAGACTCAAGTTTCCTATTTTCGAATGGATGTGCTTAAATCCAAAGCTGCTGTAATCTTCTTATTTTATTAAGTCTTTAAGACGCATTACTTTATTTATACTGACTAATATTTGGTTTCACTTTGGAAAAGTTCACATTGGACTAAATATTTAGTATGAGAAGGGAATTTTCCATTGCGGGGAATAAAAAAAAAAATTTCAAAACCTGTTTTAGTGCAGAAAGCTCTTTTCAGTAAAGCTTCCAAACCTACAGATATCTTTTTCTACAGCTTGCCTTATTATGCTAAACTTGGATTCCCAATGACATTTAATGTAATAAAAAATGACACTGTAATTTAAAAAATGGCCTAGAGAATTATCAGGACACACATTAGGTAAATTGAAAGCTGGCTCAATGAGGAATCAAAAACTTGAGTTTCTAATGGGAAGATGTAGATGAATGGGGCTCATTAGGGTCTGATAGGTTTGGATAATGGGTGGGAAGGACAAGTTGAAGTTATTAAATGATATGAATCCCCTGATATAATGGCCAGATTCCAGTAAAATGCACTTTATTATAACCAGATGAAGTATATTTAAACCAAATGAAATATATCTGGCACCAGAGAAACATATCTGTCTCTGCTGCAGAATAATGAGGCTTTGTCCTGGAAAGCAGTGACCTAATGGATTTAGGATGGTCATAGAAGATCATCTCAGTGTGAGCTCTCAGCATAATGCTGTCACAAAGAAGGGTAGACCATTTCTTGAATGCTTTAGAAGTTAAGTAGCAAAGTAATTATTCCACATAATATCAGTAAAAAAACCTGTGGGTTAGGTGTCTTTCCATTAAGACAGATTGGGATTGCTCAGTGGATTTCAGAAGATGTTTAAAAATGACCAGCATTTGGCAAACCCTGTTAGGAATTTGCCTCAGTCACATAAAGGCATTCAACCAGAGACTTCAGAGATAACATGATATCTGTAGATAGATGTTTAAGTAAAAAAGATTCATCAAACTGTGACAAAGGAAATTGAATGCTCTGTCCTAGCAACCAGGAGCTTCAAGTGTTAGAAGCAAAAAATAAGGGACACAATGAACTCAAAGCCATTAACATGTGGTTAACTTCTTAAATTAACTTCTCCAGATAAGACCAGTCCCTGGGTCTTCTGTGGGTAACAGTCACAGGAAGAATCTGCAAATGAAACAGGCTTACACATATTTGCTTTTTTTTATCCCACCATAAGACAAGTCCATTACTTATAGATCAAACTGTGATAGAGCTTTGAATATCTGCTAAAAGAAGAACCTCCAAGGAAAACAGCTGAACATTAGGTATAAATGACAAAAAGCCCCCAACGATATAAAGGTAATCAAGGATAAGAACTGTTGCTACAGTTTCCTAGGCTTTTTGTCTTGTGTTTTGTTTGTTTGGTTAATTTGTTTTTGTTGTTGCAGAGGTTTTCATGGTATGTGCCTTGCTTTGTTGGTTATCAATACAGAATCACATACAAAGTCCAGGCTTATCATCTGACAAAATGAAAATTATTCCAATTGTATTAAATTAATTAGCTGGAGATAATGGAAAGAATTTGTTCCTGCCAAGTTTCTTAAATCTCCCAGAAAAGGCTCGCATATTTAAATGTTCAAAAGGAGTGAAACTGCTGTGCCTGATTTCCTTCAGTATTTAAAAAAGGCAAGGTGGAGGCTTCTCAGGTAACACACAGACCTTTATGCATTCACCAGTATAATTAAATGAGGTTTTGGTGTTTATTTCCGGTTCATAACCACGATTCTCTCACTGGATCTGTGTAATAGGTTCAGTTACAGCATTATATTTTATACAAACAACAGAGAGGGCAGGTTGTGTTCCAGTCAGCAACATTTGCAAAACAGTCCATTGCATTATGCATCTGTAAAATATTTTTTAAAGCTAAATTTCCATTTGCTTTGGGGAAGGTTTTCAACCTGAACACAAGCAGAAATTAAAACATCGCTATCTCAGCTTATCTGATTCATCAGACGTGCATATTATGTTCAATGTTTTTTGAAACACAGGCTACTTTTTGCAATCTATTACTGCTATTGAAAAAGAAGTAGCAGAAAAACCCCTCAAAAGCACGGAATAATTGGAACAAATTGGATAACTAAGGACAGTGTTGTTTGCTTCTGAATATTTAGAAACAGAAAAAAATTGATATTCACTAACATACTGATCCACATTGCTTATTTAACTGTGAATTCAGCATAATAGAAAACTCTTACAAAATAAAAACACGGTGAAGGATTAATTTTCCCTTTTCTCCTATTTTTACATACATTACATTTGAGCCCTAATTTCTGTGTTTTTCTGTTTGATTTCACAGGTTTGTGAAATCAGTGGAATTATTGAAGAACAATTTAATAAAAAACAAAAATATGGTGATCAAAACTACACCTGAAAATTTGCTTTAGTTTATACATTAAAAATTAAATAAAGTTATTTTTCTAGTATCAGCAGCACATGAGTGAAACTGCTCTCATATGAGGATGCTGTAATGCACTGAATGAGACTATTTACTGTGGTACAGTGGCCTTAGGAAAGAAGGGTAATTGTCACCTTTTAGTATAAATTTACTACAATATTTTTTTTAGTTTATAACCCTGTTGTTTTGGATTGACATTTGATAAGCTAAATTCTGCCTGACCAAAACAAACTTTGCCTAAAGATTGTATGTATTTTAACTTGTCTAAGGTTTTCTACTCCTTATATTTTTGTAATCTTTGCTCCTTTTTAGATTAATAAACATTAAAATATTTGCTGCATCTGCCCATGTGTATGTCCCATTCAGGTCTCACAGAGAGCTAGCTGTTCACTCATAGTCACCTGCAGAGAGAGGTCAGACAGGGGAATGAGTGAATGAGTGAAAGAAAAGCAGAAACAGGTGCTGCTTGTGCTGCATAACTTTGTATTGAATTTATCTACTTTGATCTTTAAAACAAATAAAGACTCTGTTAAAAAGGGGGACACAATAAGGAGTGGTGCATGCATGCAAAAATAAAGCACCTAAAAGGAATTTCATATATTATGATAAAGTGTTAGTTACCCATATGAATTACTGAGACAAACTTGCTGTTTAAAATATTCTATCTGGTGTGTGCTGTGTGCTTGGAACTGTAGAAGATGTGTTAGCACAGACATCAAATGAAGGGATGTGGCAGTTGCATTTACTGATTTCATTTACCTGTTAATTCTGTCAAGTGTGTTCTCAGTTTCCTTTGTCTTCAATTATGTATGCTCGGGTCCTGTATCTTTGACAGAATGATATAATGAAATTGCTTGCAACTATTAAAAAATACAGTATTACAAAGCATCTATTTGTTTAAGAAATAAAAATGAGTTGTCTGTCATAAGTGTTTCATAGTGTGAACTTTTTTCTGCTGTCTCACAAATGCAGAGTGCTAAATACACAGAAACTCTATTGTCTGTGTTAGTCATGAGCAAGTTAAATGGAAGTTAACATTGTGGTGAACAAGTATTTGCTATATGTGTCATCATAGTGCACAGTTCCTATGTGTAAAATGTTTGGCATACTGAAACCCCCTGGGGTAGTCCCTTTAAGTTCATTTCAGGAAGGTACTTTGTTAATTTGTCATCAGTAAAGAAAATCTGTAATGCTGTGTGCATTTGCAATATACTTGAGGGCTCGTTTCCATATGGGAGGTGTATTGTCATCGATTAGTCAGTTGTGCTCAGAAAAGCATTCCTGTGAAACTAATGTCTCCTTTTCATGAGTTTTATTCTTCCTTAGTGGCCCTCATTTCACATTTTACCTTGACATTACTGAAAAATATAAAATAGGATTGTCTTTTCTTCTTTCGGTTGCTTCACTAAACATCTGCTAAGCTGCATGCTTTCTGCTTCATGTCATTACTGGGTGAAATTACGACTGCATTTAATCCTTGGGAAAAATCTTGTTGACTTAAGGAGAACCAAGATTGCTCCCAACAAGTTGAGAAAGAAATTGGAATTTGGCAGCATCTTAATTCTAGAAGTTCTGGCAAGTATGAGAACTTGAAGACAGTTTTGGCCGCCCAGTAGGGCAGAGTTATTTGGTCAGGGATGTGTCTTGTTTGAAATTTTGGTTACGGGTGAAGAAATACAAGACAGGCTTTATTCAGGAAGGCAGAATATCAGTCATGTCACTGGTATTCAGAGGGGAAAAAGGCTTTTCAGTTACAGATATAGTGAGTGCATCAAGAGTTGTTGGAGTGATTAAGAATTTAGCACGTGCTAATTGTACACAAGTGTCTCAAGGTGTTATAGGATGGCTTGGGTGGTCTCAGTTGTAAAAGCTGTGAAGCCCAGAGCTTCTGAGATATATGGCTCTTTTTGGGACTGGCCAGAACAATGGCATTTTTCTGGGACACTTTCTAAGCTGAAGGGCAGAGGATAAAACCATGGAAAATATGATTATTTTTCACACTAAAACATACAGAAAATCACATGTGGTTTTTTTGTTGTTGTTGTTTTAGTTCTCACAATTTTGACATGATTTCATGAATTTTTAACACTACTTAGTAGTTAGCACTACTCCCTCTAAAGCATATGCAAACAATTTTGGCTGATATTAGTGCTCAGCCCAGCAACCAGAGCTGGCACTGCAGAAGAGAAGTGCCAGCCACCTGGTGCCCTGACTGCAAACAAGCTGGCAGTGAAGCATAGCAAGTCAGGAGAGCTCCAAGGAGGAGCTGAGATGCACTTAATAGGCAACAAGCAGCTGGGCTTAGGGGGCCAGGGAGCACAAGCAGCAGCTGGGCAGACCGTGCAGAAGGCATGTGTGATAAACTTGTTTTCACCTCCAAGCTGCTGGAAGCCATACTCATTTTCTGTTTGACCTTTTTGGCTTTGGGAAGCAGTTTTTCGATTGCTTATGGAATAAACTGTGCCTACATGGTGTCTAATTGAATTCAGAGTCAGCTGTGGATGCTCTTGATGCTGCTCTAGTTCGTTTGGCAAGAATTTCAAGGTGGAGGGGTTTTTTTTGTTTGTTTTTCACTCTGCACCAGGCACTTCAAAGTCATCCAAATAAAGCTATTGTAAAGCTGCATAGAAATGTGCTGCTGTCTAGTTGCATGGAACAGAGCGGATTTAGCACTTTTCAGAAAGATGCTTTATGGGTCATTGCTGGTGCTATTCAGTTACTGCATTTTGATGGAAAAAAGAGTCATGAGAAACAGATACATTTTGCCTAGCCATATGTTTGCAACTTAATTTTTTTAATCCTTTATGAATGTGGTGATGTAGGGATCCATGATTCTAAATAGCACTTGTTAATGAAAAAAACCAAATATGTCTCAGTTTATAAAAATGGATGTAGCTTGTCTAAAAAGCAGCTGTTTTTCTTTCAAAGGCCAATTTACCATAAAATAGGCTTTATTGCCATATGAGTTACTGCTGCTTCCTTTTAAGGCTTTCATACCCTTAATACTTTATCTGGCTGATCTTAAAAACAACCTTAATGTATCTGCATTCATTTCAATAAAATGACATTATTAATGGATTTACTTCTATACTGCCCATATCAAGTAATTTCATCATTAGTCAGATTTTAAAGATAGCCTTCTTGCTACTCCAGTGTCTAGCTCTAGGATTTGTAGGTATGACTGGTGGAAAAACAGGGAAGAACTTTTACTTGCATAAAGCTATTATAATTAAACTGTTTCTTTTGAAATATCCAGTAGAAGGGTTCTATGAACAAATCCTTATCTTGAAAACTTCAGCAATAATTTTAAAACACCTACACAACAATCAGTTGTACTCTGTATTAACAAAATCTTCTGGCCCTGTGGGAATATGTTTCCTAAAAATGCAACCTTATTCACTGTTCAAGTGTCTTTCTTCTGAGTCAATACTTACAAAAGAGGGAGAAAAATAGTTTTCTGCTTCCTGGAGTATTGCTTCAGGTATACCAACATTTTACTGACAGAGGTAGCTAGATAAGTGCAGGGGAAGTCCTATAAACCAACAACTAAATTCAGAGAAATATATGAATTTAATGAAAGCCAACTCACATGCATGAATGTGATGCTATCATTTCATTGCTCTGGCTGTACATGGACATGCTTCACATTTAATCCAATAAACTATTCATGTAAAATACAGAAAAGCTCCCCTGGGTTAGATTACAGCAGCCTGGACTGCTCTGCAGTAAGCATGCTGACCATAAAGTTACTGTTCTTTTACTGACTTTGTAGTACTAGCTCCAGGCAGCCACATGAGAAAAAAAGATGTGCAAAAAATATGTGTTCAGAGAATTTTATGGCCATTCAGTCTTCACCTTGGTCTTCACTTTTTTATGGATCAGAGAGCAGATAGTTAGGCAATGCAATTAGTTTTGGAGATATTTTTGTGCTTTTCAGTTTTAGCTGAAATCACAAAAGTTTGGGATTAATCCAAAAAAGTTTAAACAGACCACTGGTTTGACAGCATTAGCTTACTTTTTGCTATATTGCTGAATTTAATTGTTTTTAATTATCAAGTTGCTGGTTAAAAGAAGATATATATTTTTTAGTTAAATTTCTGACACAACAGTTCATTAGAACTTTGATTGCTGTTTTCTTTTTTGGTATGAGAGATGAAACTAAAGCATAATCAAATATGCTAAACTAAGGCATAATCAAATTATCAAATTTAGTTTGATGACACACTTTTTTTTTTTTTTATAATACAGTCAGCTACTATTTTTGATGGCTTGTCTGCCTGAGATATGCAGCAAGTCTAATATGTACTGTCTGTAGAAATTTCTCCTACATCAGCTTTAAACCTATCAAGGTGCATCTTCAAATGAAAACACTGCTCTGGACCATAAGTTCAGTTCAATTGGCAAAGCAGTCTAGTGATGTTTTCACTTACACAAACACAGTACAAAGGCAGAAATTTCACTTTATTAAGAACTGAAATTTAATCTACGAAACTCCAATCTTTGTAGATCTTTGTTGTTGGAAAATGGCAGTGCTTTAATAGCTAATATTATAACAGCTGCTATTCCAGAAGTTCTGCTGTAGAATTTGCTGCCCTCTCCAGCTTATGCATCTTTTTTGTATGAAGAGTATCTGTGTTTGAACCTTGTATTGTTTTTCTTAAGTTATTATTAGCCAGTCCTGGAGAATGCTTCTAGTTCTGAAATGGTTAAGTAAAATCACTGAACCAATGTCCTCTCTCCATCCCTGGACCTTCTTTTGAGAGCTTGATGATATAGTAGAGGAAATGTATTTGAATATCTGTACAGAGGCTTTGCCCTAGAGGTCCCGGTTGCCCTTGATGGGCTGCAGCTGTGATGTCCTTAATTGGGCTGCGGCTGTAACCAATGAAGATGACTGGGATAAAAGGGGGCGGGATAGCCAGTCAGGGAGAGCCTTGGAGGAGCCCTGACCTGAGAGAGAACAGCATGCAGAAGAAGGAGTCTGTGCAGCAAAGATCTGCAGCCATGAGAATACACCCAAGAGGTATGGACTTTAGAAATCTAATAACAACAATATGGGACTCTAGAAATAATAGAAGAACAACCAGTGGTGACCCCGATGTGATAGTTAGCAGAATATAAGACAGCCGAGAGCTGTGGTGGCCAAGAGCTGCGACAACATAAGGCGGCCAAGAGCTGTGACAGAACAGCCAAGAGCTGCGGTGGTAGCTAGCAGAAGATAAGACAGCTGAGAGCTGTGGTGGCCAAGAGCTGCGACAGAACATAGCCTTTGGGTCAGGGAGCTGTGAAAGAGTATGGCCTTTGAGCAAGGAGCTATGTGGGTTATACATGGCCTGTGAG